GCGACTTCTACCTGCGCTACTACGTGGGGCATAAGGGCAAGTTCGGCCACGAGTTCCTCGAGTTCGAGTTCCGGCCCGACGGTGAGGGGCGCAGCGGGACCGGGAGGGGGCAGAGTGGGGCGCGGCGGGGCCCTCAGTCTCTCCGCTCCGGGGCGATGCCGGGCAGGGCCGAGGCCGCCGCGCAGCGCTGCCCGGGCTGGGTTTAACGTCCGTCCCGTCTTTGACAGGGAAGCTGCGCTACGCCAACAACAGCAACTACAAGAACGACGTCATGATCCGAAAGGAGGTGAGGGGGAGGCGGCGGCGTGCGCCTCTGCCGGCCCGTGCCCGGTGCCGTGCCCGGGGTCGGTACAGCACAGCACTGGGCGGTTTGGGCGAGCAGAGCAGCCCCGGCAGCGCCCGGGGCGGCTCGTGACGTTGGGACGTTGTTCGTAGGCTTACGTGCACAAGAGCGTGATGGAGGAGCTGAAGAGAATCATCGATGACAGCGAAATCACAAAGGAAGATGATGCGCTATGGCCTCCTCCTGACAGAGTCGGTCGGCAGGTCGGTGTGCCGTGTCGCTCCTAATCGCTGTTTTCGTTGTAGTATGTTAGATCATTAGAAGCATCACTTCAGTTTTATTCAAGTCTGTGTTGTCTCTAGCCAAGAGGGAAACAAGTACCATTTTAAAACCCGTGCGGTGCCTAAATCCCAGTTTAGGTGATTAGTTAATCGCCTAAATCCCAGTTTAGGTGATTAGTTAATCACCTAAACTAGTTTAGTTAATGTAATTCGCCAACCTACTGCACTGAATACCTTCGTAATAAACATGGAATAGCCATCATCTCGGTACTCACTATTTGTGTAACTAATACCATAAAGCAGGAGTTTGATTTCTTACAATCTTTTCTTTTTTAGGAGCTTGAAATAGTAATCGGTGATGAGCACATCTCTTTTACCACGTCAAAAATCGGTTCGCTCATCGATGTAAATCAGTCCAAGTACGTACTCCGCTTTTCTATGTTGCTGTTGGTTTTATGTAACCATCTACACTAGAACTTGCTGATTACTGGGTGTTTTGTACTGTTTCCAAGTACAGATCAGTTCCTGGGGTCACAAGTGCTTTGTGTTCCCACGTAACATACCAAAAGCTTGTAGGCTGTGTCATTATGGGCTCTGTTTCCAAACTCGCTGAGCAGCTAACCATACTGGAGGAACCCCGTTAGGCATACTGAGTCTGAATTAAACAGCCGCTGGCCTGTCCACACCAGTGTCTCTAGAACCAGGACTAAAACTTTACCTAAGCCGAAAAGATTGCATATTGTGTCTTGTAAATCCACAGTGATGTTACTACTTGCTTTTGTGATAAAAATGCACATTTTGTCAAGACTTAAAACTTGCAAACTTGGACTGCAGAATGCTTTATCAATCAATGCAGGATGAAACAAATCTGTTTATGTCTAAAATGACCTCTAAAAAGTCTCCTTATGGCCTTTTTTTTTTAATTAGGTTCTATAAACTGTTTCATAAAACATGAATCTAACTTTTTTTTTTTTTTTTGTCTGTGCACTGCAGGGATCCGGAAGGCTTGAGAGTGTTTTACTACCTGGTCCAGGACCTAAAGTGTCTAGTCTTCAGTCTTATTGGACTACACTTCAAGATTAAGCCAATTTAAATCAAACGAACTGAAGTTTGTATTGCAGTATCTGTATGGGGGGTGGGAGGGAATGCTGTTTCAAATTCTTGCCATTTCTGGCCTGAAGCTTTTTATGTATGTTAGAATTTTTTTTTTACAAACTGTCAGTGACTGTCTCAATAAAATAGTAAGATCTGTATTTTTAATTTTTAAGTTCTGGTGAGAAGCTGACTTCGTAATACTTCTTTTATCATGGTACATTCAGGGTATGTTACTTCACTTGTATCACACAAAGCTGTATTTCACTATCTATGCCAGCAGTAGAAAATGGAATTAAGTCTGGCTCTGTGAAATGAAACTTTTGTCAGCTGTCAAGATAAATTTCTGTTACTATCCCTAGTTGGATATTCTGTTGTTGGCCAGCTGAGATATGCAAAACAAGTGAAGCCCTGACTTTGCACGTGATAACCATTTATAGCAAAGACACATCAACTTCCTAACAACCTGCTGCTGTGATTATCCGTTTGCCTTCAGAGTGGAAGTAGACCAACAGGCTGCCCGGGAGCCATCCAGGATCTACACTGGTACTCCCATCCAGCTTTAGAAAAACTGAAATTACAAGCAATGATGAATGTATTTAGTTAAGTTCCAGACTAGCAGGCCTGTTGTGTGGAATTGATTAAGAAACTTGAGGACCAAATGCGTCTCAACTTCAAAGTGGCAATTTTGATAAAGCACTGTGGGAGGAGACCCGCTCAGAGGTCTGAAGTTACCCACTGCCTCTGAGGGTGTTCCACGTGGCATCTCTGGCAAACAGGCCTTTTCTGCTTTTCCCAAATCAGTAGCCACTGTGGTTAAAATAAAATGGCGGTTAAATGACTTTTTTAAAGGTGAAAACATCAAACCCCTATTACCTGTGCCAGCACCT